GCCCCCTGGTGGGCTGAGCTGGCCACACACACACACCACACACTCTCTCTCTCTCTCTCAAATAAATAAAAATAAAAAAATAAAAAAATAAAAAAGCAGTTATTGCCAACCAGGAGGACATCGATTAAATTATATAAATAATTTAAGAAGCAAATAGCGAAAAGGTAGGAAACAGGGAAATAGGTTGACTAGAGATGGCAAGAGGAGATGGTGGGAAAAGAGAGGGCCAGGAGGGAAAGGTGACATTTTGCTTTGATGTAGTTGCTCAGATTGCAGATGATAGCCCATGGAGTTAGTCAATGTGAGAATTTTGAACATTATACATACTGACTCCCCAAGATAAATGATACAAATATTAGGTCTCATAAACTCCTATCAATTAAAAATGATACAATTACATTTAGTATATCTGATTTTGTAAGGCACTATGATGGCTAATACAGTTCAGAAAGGTTTTAAGAAATTATTAAAGTTTAAGTGGTTTTGGTATTGGGGAACATCAAATTCAGTTATAGAAAGAATTTGATTTTAAGAGCTCCTTCCTTAAGGATGCTAAATAAATGATTTTTGTCTTTCTAAAAGTGATAGCACTTTTTGACTCCCAGGGGCAGTGAGGGATCATTTATCAATGTTTACTAACATTGATAATTTTAAGAAAGATAAAACTATCTGGGCAAGCACAGGGGCCAGGGTTCAACCCCTAGCACTACATGCCCTACAGGCCCCGCCCCTGGGTGCGCTGAGCTGGCAACTGAGTCTGGGCCTAGGGTCCCACACCTGTAATTCCAGGCTGAAAACAGGAGGATCACTACGAATTCGAGCTGTGTAGTGAGACCCTGCACAACAAAAAAACTGTGTGTGTGTGTGTGTGTGTGTGTGTGTGTGTGCTTCATACATGAAAGAAAAAATAATCCCAGGCTCAGGTGCTGAATGATGTCTGACTCTGAAGACTGTGGATGCAACTGCGAGGGTGCTCACTGTGGGAAGAGCTATAGGGTCCCTGGCCCTGCTGCCTTCAGCTTTGCAGATACTTTGGCTGGAATTCAGCCTCACACTCTGTAAATAGAAAGAACAGTGCTGCTCTCTGTCCGCAGCCACCAGCAGCGAAGCCAAGATGCCTGCGGTCTGCCTGACCCGCCAAGGCCTCTGCACAGTTTGCACTGAGGGCTTTCACAAGACCCCAGGGAAGGCGCTGAAAGTGACAGTGGACTGACAGCAACCCCCAACTAACCAGTTTTACTTCTTTAAGGAGTATCTTTTGGCAAGTGCCACAGTCGAAAAACACTAATAATACCTTTTTTAATTAGAAGAAATAATAGATGATGAATACTTAAGGTCAGCGGGACACAGGGGTACCCTCAAGGGTCAGTAGGGAGCTCCTGAGGCTGCCATCACTATATCTAAATAATGTGCATACATATTTTTCCATGCAAGAAACCCAGCAATTTCACTCTATTTTTAAAGCATCTGTGACATCCTCTTCAAAGATTTTCCTAAGATTAAAAACCACTGTTGACTGCTGTCAACTACAGTATACATGTAAGCAAATGGGCAGCATATGTGCCACCAAGTTTTAAGGTCCACATGTTTCAGCACTACTCGTCCTCCAGTGAAGTATTACCCAAATGACCTTGGATGCAAAGACAACTTGTGCAATGCGTAAACTGCAGGCATTAGCGACGGGCTGCTTAGATGCAAAGCCTGGTGCTGCCACAGACTCTAGATAGACTCACTTAAATCAGTCAATCTCACAAAGCTTCAGCTTTTTTTGAAAGAGAAAATTAAAGAAAGAAAAGAGAGGGGAGGTAAAGGGAGGAGAGGGGAAGGGAGGAGAGGGGAGGGGAGGAGAGGGGAAGGGAGGGGAGGGGAGGGGAGGAGAGGAGAGGAGAGGAAAAGAAAGGGAAAAAAGGAAGAGTAAGGAAAAGGAAAAGAAGGGAAGGGAAGAGAAGAGAAAAGAGAAAGGGGAACATAGTATTCATGTTACAGGGCTGGGAGGAGGATTAAAGTAACTATTCATTAAAATGTCTTGCACAAGTTCTAGAACTTGACTCTGAGAATCTCACCAGTGTTACCTGATGAATTTTCATTAATAAAATCCTTAATTTTGTACACTTACTCCTCATAATGTAAAGCATCAGCCAGTGATCTTTCCATTCCGATCAAAATTATCACATTTTTTAACCCGCCTTTCTCAATGCTCATCAACATTTTAGACAACTGTAATGTGACATCTAGTGTTTGAGGTCACTATCTTTGGTAAACATTTTGTATGTGAGCATTTCTATGATGTGATTTTTCTAACCCTGTTAGGAGCTAATCTAAGCTGTTGGTTAGTGTATGATAAATCTAATAAAATATTATATCTGTGAAATTGGAAAAGTATCTGAATATATATACTGAGGAAATACTAAAAACATATAAATTTGGGTGAACTTTTCTCTTTCTTTTGAAAAATAAGAACCCTAGCAAATTTGATTAATGTGTTGTTTGTTTTCTTCCACAGCACTTGTGGTGAGATTTCTGACCAAAAGATTCATCTGGGAATATGATCCAACGCTCGGTATGTCAGATTTTGTTTCCTCTCCTCCTCATCCATCAAAGATTATGACTCCACAAAATGATGATGTATTCTTTTTTTCCCATAATTTTATTGAGAAACAAATAGCAATGAGACAGTTTCAAACCAAATTGGTAGGACAGTTTCAATAATTAACACATTGTATACTCTCTTCCTAGTGGTTATTTGCTGTACAAGATGCAGACATGGTATCCTATTTACAAACACTATTAGAACAAATCCCTCTATTCATTAAGA